TGTCATTATATACATAGATAGTAGTGTGTACTACTTTATATTCGCCTTACAAAACTAACATCAATAATAATAATAATAATAAGTTTCAATATAGATTTTGTAACTTATTTTTTTCAAATATTTCATGCATTTATCTTGAATGTAAAGATCTTTCAATTTCTTCTCTCTCAAACTTTGTCTCTTATAGAGTGAGACATGAGATTTTTATGTGATATTGTGAATATATGAAGTGAAATACACGCATTGCAACCAAAAAAAAAAGAAAAAATTTAATTAAATTAAATATAGATTTTCTAATTTATTTTTTTCAAATATCTCAAGTATTTTTTTTTTATGTGAAGAGCTTTTAATTTATCCTCTCTCAAGCTCTGTCTCTTATAAAGAAAGACATGAGACATTTATGCAAAGTAAAAGACGTGGATTGCAAACATACCTAAAAATGCATTGCAAAAATCAAACACAAACTCAAAGAAAAATAATAAAATTATTTCATTTTTTTTAATCACTTTACATTTAAAATGTACAATTTGAAATAGGAAAAAATTAGAAAAAAAATATACATCAAATTCATACACACACACACACACACACACACAAACAAACCCAAAAAAAAAAAAAAAAAAAAACAAACAAACAAACAAACAAATCCCCATGAAATATGAGTCAAACTTCTTAAACAAATCATTTTTGAAAAAAAAAATGATCTTTCAAAAAATTCAACATTTGAGTCCCAAAAAAGTCAAAAAAGAGAAATAAGAAAAATAAAAAATTTGATAGTAAATTTCCGAACAACTTCAATTATGCAAAGTGAGATGTACAATCAAAATGTTCAATTCAACAAATTACATAGAAATCGCATCAACGATATAACTTGTTTTTATTCACACAACTCTTACAATCGTAAATCATATATATATATATATATATATAAATACAGTCAATATAACATTGAGATTAAAGATTTCAAATAAAAAAAAAAGATTTTTTTTATTTATTAGAAGTCGAGAAGAATTCTATTCATATGATTCTTACAATCATAAATCATATATATACGTATAACTCAATATAACATTGAGATTCAAGATTTCAAATTAAAAAAAAAAAATGCTCTTTTATTTATTTATTAGAAGTGGAGAGGAGTGTAGAGAAATGAGAGGGAAACATCGCTATATATAGATATCTATATAGTAAAGAAATAGATATAAAATTTAATTTTAAAATGTAACATAAAAATAAATAAATAAACATTTTACAAAACAGGAAGAGATAGAGATTAAATTTGTTAAGAAAGATATTAATTGAAGAGATAGAGATCAAATTTGTTAATTAACAAAGTCATAATTGAAGAGATAGAGATCAAATTTGTTAATTTTATCTGTTTATATATCTGATTTTTAAATTTTGTTTTTATGTTTATTTTTTAAACATAATTAAAAATTAGAGAATGGGTAAAGGAGACTTCACATAATACCATGTAGGAAAGAGACTACTTGAGAATTTGATATTAAGAATTTGGGGACTCGGCTCCATATGTTTCATTACATTATATATATATATATATATATAGCCAGTGGCAGAGCCAAAAATTTAATATAGGGAGGGGGGCACTTGGATCTGCGGGAATGTTTACTAAATTAATTCTATGTGACTTTATTTTGCGGAAGAATAATAATCATCTTCTTCTTGAGGAAAAGATGATTCCAACTTTGATTTTCTTTTGAAATATTTCTCTATGACTGTTTGAAAAAACTAAAAATCAAAATAAAAATTCATAATCAAAATCACAAACGCCCACAAATCAAAATCTCCGATTTTAATACAAATAAAAATAAATAAATTTAGCATAAATCCCAACAAATCAAAATTTCTAATTTTAATACAAATTATAACAAATCAAAATCCCTAATTTAAATATTAATCACTGCAAATTAGTATTTTTAATTTTAGCACAAATCAAATCCCTAATTTTAACACAAACAACAACAAACCAAAATCCCTAATTTTAATATAAATCACCACGAATTAAGATTCATAATTTTAGCATATCAAAATCTCTTATTTTAACATAAATAATAACAAATAATTTTTTTTTTACAAATTAAAACTTAACAAATAACTATAAATTAATACTCATAATTTTTATTTAAAAGTAAAAAAAAAAAATAAAGTTATCTGTAAACAATAAAGAGAAGATACTAAGGTTGTAGTGTGGTTCCAAATCTGTGTTGTGTGATCTTAATCCGGTGAATCGCAAGTCGGTAAATTGCAAAGCAACAAAGGGAGACAAAACTTAACAAATAACTATAAATTAATACTCATAATTTTTATTTAAAAGTAAAAAAAAAAATAAAGTTATCTGTAAACAATAAAGAGAAGATACTAAGGTTGTAGTGTGGTTCCAAATCTGTGTTGTGTGATCTTAATCCGGTGAATCGCAAGTCGGTAAATTGCAAAGCAACAAAGGGAGACAAAAAAAATACAAAAATATTTAACAAGTACTATGAATAAATAAAACAAATAAAGAATTTCATACACTTTTAGGGTTTTAGGGTTTTAGTCTTGTCGTAATTGGAGTTGTGTGCACTCACCAAAAAAAAATATTTGTGTGTCAATGTTTGATTGGGATTGGGATTCACAAAAAAAAAAAAAAAAAAAAAAAAAAAAACCAAAACAAAAAAAATAAAAGAACGTGGGTCCGTGGTGTAATATCAGTGTGTTCGGGATGCATTTGGGAGGGCTATGTAGCACGGGCACTGTGTAAGCACGATCAAACCAAAAAAAAAAAAAAAATTGAAAAGTCAGGAGGGCACGTGACCCTCTCGACCCAACGTCCCTCCGCTACTGTATATGGTATAGATTAAGAAAAAATAACTTACGTAAATTGATTATGTAGACTTCTTTTAATTTCTGTTTTATGATTATCAACTTTTGAAACTTAAAATAAATTATACTAAATAAACAAATGTATTGTAAGATATACTAATATTGATCTTGTTAATTGTTTAAGGGAAATTCTATAGTACACAACTTATTTTGGGGTGTGTACCATATACCCAGTTATGATGCTTGTGGTTTTTAGTTATGACATATTATGTTGTTAATTATGACATAAATATGTGATATTGGTTATGATCTTTTGTTATTATTATTTGATTAAAGTACAAATATATCCCCTGAAATTTACTTAAAATATAATTTTCCCTATATGATTCTGGAAATTACATATCTCGCCCTTTGAAATTTTTAATTTCATAACAAATAATTATTTTATTAATAAATCATCAAGTTAATTAAATTTTTTTTAATGATGTCGGAAATTTATTTCAATTAATAATTCAAATAATTTAATCATTATATAGAAGAGCAATTTTGAAATTTTATTTTTTTAGTTAATTTTATTAAATAAAAAATAAAAAATGTGATGTTTGGTTATAATCGAAAATGTCTTTTGTGAATCTTATACGGTATTTGATTATGACTCATTGTGGTATTAATTATGACACATTTTTATTTTATTTTATTTTATTTTTTATTTTAAATTTTGGAGTTTGTACCAGATTGTTTGGTGTAACTTCTACTTATAATTTATTAGTCAGAAATAACTTAAATAAATTAAAAAAAAAAATTAATTTTCAAAAATTGGTTAAGCAGTACTTTTGACTTCTACTTTTAGATTATCAACTTTTATTCTGGAATAAGTTGCACCAAATAACACTATTGTGATGTTGGTTATGACTTATTGTGATTATTATTTTTATTATGATCGAAAAATGTCTTTTATACCTTATAACTCATTATATATATATTAGGAATAATACCTGGTAGCTCGAAAATCATTGGCCCGAATTGGCTCAAATACCCAAAACGACATCGTTTTCGTTTTGGGTATTCTTTTTCTTTTTTTTTTTCCTTTTCTTTTATTTCCCTTCCCTTTCTGAAACAGAGAAGAAAAAATAGAAGATCAGAGAAAGAGAGAAGAGGAGAAAAGATGGAGAAGAGGGGGAGGAAAAGAAGGAGACGGTGATGGCAGTGCCAGTTGGCCAGTTGGTGACTCTTTCTCTCTCTGCCGATGGGTGGCCCTCCCTCTCTCTCTCTCACAATATAGATGTGTGTATAGATCGGTGGATGATGATGTGTGTGTATAGATCTAGTGGCTCTCTTATATATATATATATATTGTGTGTATAGATCTGTGTTGATGAGGATTGTGTATGTTGATGATGAAGATTTGTTGGTGTTGATGATTTGTGTATAAAAAACGGAAGTTCTGTGTATATAAATTTTTTTTTTTGGTGATTGTTGATGTTGATGTCCCCTGCTCCATCTCTCTTCTTCTTCTTCTTCTATTTTCATCCTTTCTGTTTCTAAACAGAGAAAAGAAAGAAAGAAAGAAAGAAAAAATATATATATATATATATATCCAAAACGACGTCGTTTTGGATTCAAGCCATTTTGAGCCTTAGTATTTTCGAGCTACAAAACGGGACTGATATATTAATTATGATTGAAAAAGATTTAATTATAACTAACTTACACATTGAGGATGTGTATTCTAAAACAACTAACGAGTAATGGTAAGGGATCATAAAAAAAGGATAATGAAATGGTTTATTAAATTCTTCACCCTTAGATTATAATGTAATAAAATACCACAAATGATGAAATATCTTCATCAAACATTTTATGATCATTAGCATTATTTATAACCAATTGTTTAATGATTTAAGGGATTATTTGAGGAGTGAATTTTTGGTTAAAATAGCCAAAATTCCAAACCAAATTATCACATTATCCTTTTTAATTTTCTTACAAGTTTTTTTTATAAAAAAATTAAAAATCCAATTAAAACAATCAATTTCCAAACAAACTTTGAGTAGACCAATTGAAAGAAAAGCTCATAACAATAACGGTGTACTCGACCTCATTCTACACTAGCTCAAACTCAAAAACCCTACTAACCACATGGACAATTTATTCCTTAACACCCAAACGCTATTTCAAAATCTTCAAAGAAGTCCACAACGCTGCGCCACCACTACCCCTCTCTCTCTCTCTCTCTCTCTCTCTACAATGAAGGCCTCCAACATTCCGCACCACCGCCCCCACTTCCTCCACGGCGGCGCCGCAGCCACCTTCACTCTCCTCCCTAAACCACACCTCCGCCCACCCGCCGCCGCCGCCTTCTTCCCCATCCGCATGTCCCTCCGCGACGACGCCCCCTCCCTCGCCGTCGTCGGCGTCACCGGCGCCGTCGGCCAAGAATTCCTCTCCGTCCTCTCCGATCGCTCCTTCCCCTACCGCTCCATCAAAATGCTCGCATCGAAGCGATCCGCCGGAAAACACCTCACCTTCGAGGGAAATGACTACGTCGTTGAAGAGCTGACTCCGGAGAGCTTCAATGGCGTCGACATTGCTCTGTTCAGCGCCGGTGGATCGATTAGCAAGAAGTTTGGGCCGATCGCGGTGGATTGTGGTTCAATTGTTGTGGATAACAGTTCGGCTTTTCGAATGGATGAGAATGTGCCGCTTGTGATTCCGGAAGTGAATCCGGAGGCTATGGCGCATATTAAGCTTGGGAATGGAAAGGGGGCTTTGATTGCGAACCCTAATTGTTCCACTATTATATGCTTGATGGCTGCCACTCCTCTTCATCGACACGCGAAGGTATGAATTGATTATGCTAGCTCTATTACATTCCATTGTATTAGTGTTTTTTGAATTAGATTGTGTATTTTGTACTCGTAGATGAAACAAGTTATTCACTTTGTCTGCTTTTTGATTTTACATCCCTTTGCATTCTTATCTCTCTCTTTTCTTTTCTTTTTTGGGTAGGTAAGTCGTATATTTTATATCAAAACATTAGATGTTACAATGAAGTTCATTACATGCCTAAAAAGCAACCCACCCTTTCTGAAACACTCCTAGCTAAAACAGTACAACACATGGAAGAAATAAATTTTAAATAAAGTCCTGGCCAATCAACACCATTAGGATAAGAAAGCCAGCCAAGGCTTTCGAACCAGCCCATGGTTTTCACCAAAATCACCCTTGGGTTTTGGAACAAACCCAACATGGATTTGAACAAACCAGCAGCAACCGCACTGCAGCAACTCTTCAGCAATTCAGCAGCAACAATGGCAGGCACACACGAAGATCGGTGGGCCCTCTGGCTGTGCTGGAACAAAAATACCGTCTCCAACAAATATAAACATCTCATTGGAGCCCACAAACTCAAGGCTTTTTGATATCACTCTTAATGGCAAATCAAGCATTTCTAGAGAAACTCAAAGAAATTTACCCATCAACAAGAACCACCACAAGATCTTGCCTACACAAACAAGAATCTAGAAAGGGTAGGGAAAATTTCATAGCAAATCTGGATAACCGAAGTGGGTTCTTAGTTCTCATCATGAAAGCTTGCACACAAAAATGGAGAATACCAAAAAACACCCCATCCACCATGTAGAAGCAAAACTTGAAGCAAGAGAAGGGATAACTCAAAGAGATTAGACTCTATAGCGTAGATGAGATTTCTCAAAAACACAAATCTCCTCTAAAAAACAAAAATCTAGTATAGCCCAGGTGGAGGCATCAGGGTTCTCAAGGGAGGAGATGGGATTGTATAACAGCCCCCTTTCCATGGTTGTGAAAAGCCATAAAAAATCTATAGAGAGAGAAGCTCTCAACTCTAGAGAGAGGACCCTTCTGCATTTCATATGATGTTTTCAATATGGATTCTTATCATAGAGATCATTTTTCCATTGTGCTGTGCGGAAAATATCACTTTTTGGATGTCTAGGGGGGATTTAACTTTCTTCATTTCATATTAAGTTTTTAATATGGACTCATTTTCTTGAATGAGGTCATGATGCAACGTGAAACGCGAAATAGTAACAATCCTAAAATCCGTTGATTTAAACAAGAATACCGGAAGTAAGATTCCTTTCTAGACTCGTTGATTCATAAAAAATACTGAGAATAAAGGCTCATCAATGGTTGATTCGCAAAGAATACTCAAGGTTGGAATAAAAGAGTATAAAACTCGAAATATATTAATTCTGAAAAGCTTTCTCCTACCCTAAAGCTTACATCTTTATTTACAATGAACCTAATTCTTGTAGAACAAGAAACTTATAGAATAGAAAATAAAATCAAAACTAATAAAATAGGAAATCAGTATCATATCAAATTAGAAAACTAAATAACTAAGTACTAAATTAGAATATAAAATAGTAATTTCAAAATAATAGTATAAAAATATTTATTTTCTAAAATTCGGCTTGCATCAGGTCATTACACAAAATGGTGAGCACAATTACTCACAGTAGTAGTTTATGGGACTCTCATATTGTAAATTTGTAAGACTAATTCTCGCTTGATAGTTATGGTTATTATTAAATCTGAGTAATGAGAAAAGTAGTCAAATATCATGTATAGAAAAATGAGTTATTCAATATCTGAATACATACTAGTAATTGTTATATTTTAGCTCTTGGACAGGAACACCTAACAAAGCGATATGGTGTTACAAGTACTTATTTGATGGGATAAGGTTTAGGATGTGGACTATTGTTTTTTTTTTTTTAATGAGTTAAGCTAAACATGGATGTATAATGGTTCGTTGATGGAATAGGACTGAATTAGATTATAATTTGATTGCAATAGATTGCTGGATTTTAAGAAAACAGCCTAGTGCATTGTCGAGCCACAATGACATACAAATATAGTGATTTGATTAAAGATTATTACGTAGATTTTGTTCAGCAATTGAAAGGAAAAGACTGCTTGTAGGTTCAACTATAAGTGACATCAGTAAAGATGAAAAACCAAAAAAATAAAAAGAAGGTTTAGAGAGTCGTGATAGGCAAAGTGAGTTCAAGATCTCATCAGGTAAACTATTATCTTAATTTACTTTGCCTCATTTGTACTATGGGCTGCAGCAGAGAATTGTAACTTTCTTCGCAGACTATTCTGATAAACAAACCTGACCAAATCACTTAAAGACATTCTCAATGAATTTTATAGGTTTTGAAAGGAACCTAAGTAAACACTTGTGATGGTGCTCAAAATATTAAGGCCTTGTTTGGGAAGTGGCTGAAATATCCAAAAAGTCAAAAAATCACTATAAGTTGTCACATCACATCCCCATTTTTACTTTTCTAAACATCTTTTCGTAAAAAGTCAAAAATTCTATTAAAATAGTCAATTCCCAAACGGACCCTAACTCTTAGAACAATAATTCTTCAAACTTAAGAAGTGTAAAAATTTGCAGCAAAGAGGACACTCAATTTCAAGCAAGTCTTTATTAATTCCCCACATGCATAGAGTCAATCAACAATAGGCACCCTGAAATGACTACTAACTAGAATACTTTTATCATAAGTTTCAGAATTACCCCCCAAAAGAAAACTTTTGTATCTCAAGTAAGAGAATTGCAAAGCATTTTTTAAAGGCCTGATCCAACTACTGGCTTGAGGCTGATGTTTCGCCTACATCTATTGCATGTATTAATGATGCAGGTATTGCGCATGGTTGTGAGTACGTACCAAGCAGCTAGTGGTGCTGGTGCTGCTGCAATGGAGGAGCTTGAGCAGCAGACTCGTGAGGTTTTTTTGTTTCTCCCAACTCAATATCATCTCTACTATTCATTTTTTTTTTCTTCCTGATATTTGATGAGAAGCTTTGACAGTCCTTCAAATTTGATTTTTTTTTTTTCCTCTTATTTTTACCATAAGGTCCTGGAAGGAAAGCCTCCAACTTGTAATATCTTCAATCAACAGGTTTGTCTATCTGTTCATGTTTCTTGAGTTCAAAATCGAGATAAATGGTTAATGATTATTTATTATATCTAATTGTTCAAATTACCTCTTAATACAACTACATGCAGTATGCTTTTAATCTCTTCTCTCACAATGCACCTATCCTGTCAAATGGCTACAATGAAGAGGAAATGAAACTAGTAAAAGAGACCAGGAAAATCTGGGTAAGTGTATAGACTTGGTTTTTTATATTTAATTCTCAATATCTCTTTAGATTTATGTATATATGTGTGCTGAGGTCTCTGATTGACTTGGACAATTTGCGTAGTCTGCATGTACTTTTATTTTTTCTTTTTCTTTTGATAAGAATTTTATTTGCTATTGTAGAATGACATGAATGTCAAAGTAACTGCCACATGCATAAGAGTTCCTGTTATGCGTGCACATGCTGAGAGTGTGAACCTCCAATTTGAGAACCCCCTTGATGAGGTAATTTTGCATTTAACTCAAATTTTTATTGGTTTTTGATTCATAATAAATCTTGTTGCCTAAATTATGTTATAGTGGAGTTTCTATCCTTGATTTTCATCTGTTGTTGAAGGATAAGTTCTTGAGATTAGAGCTATGGATAATGTTCATGACAATGTTATTCTATTTTTGGGGATACACACCCTGTTTTAACTACATTTATCTATTGGTATTCCATGCTTTCTATATCACTTCTATACACTGTATTAACCTGTCATAGACTAAGATGAGTTGATATAAGGGAAAAATTGTAAATTTGTCTGAAAACTTTCACCCAACCTTTCCTTTGAGATTTGCCTATTCCCATATGATAATCTCTATTTGTTTTTTGGGGATATAAAAAAAGTTTGTACCAAGTGCACAAGCTTATAGCAGCCTGGCAGGATCCAGGAGAGCTAGTAGGTATGCTGCCTTGCTCCCACTGTTTTTTGGAGAGGCTGATTATCCTTTTTGGGCACATAATGCAGATTTAGTTTGGTTACCAAGACTTATCTAAAGTTTGTTCATTGTTTAGTTTACTTCTGTGTTCATTTATCTCATGATGCTATTTCCATCTAGCTATCATTGGATTTCACCAGGGCTTTTGATTATTTTCATGGAAGGATCCACTTGGATTCATTAAATTTTCTTCTTCTACTGCTCCCTCCGTTTCCATTCTGACTCTGTTGTTACCCACCCAAACCTATGAGTTTACAAATACTCTGTGGGGGACATATTTTAAAAATATATTATTGTTTTTCTTTCTTAGGGCTTGTCATATCATAACAAGGGAAAAGCCCACTGTGCTCTTACCAGTCTAGAATTGCACTGTGTTGGCTCCCAAAAGTTTTATATGAGCATAGTATGTAACATGAAAATTAACACACTGTTTGCCTCTTTCAAAATCTTGAGCAATCATGTGTTCTGCAAACACGTACCAGTTTACAGTAGTGACATTTTACTCCGACCAAATCACCAGGGAGGTTTCTTTACAAAAGAGGGAAATGTTTCTTTGGTATTCAATGCAGGATGCTAAGCTGGCACCTTTGGTATTCTATGCAACCAAATGGGATTCCTTTAGCCCAAACAAAACTTGTGTGTTATTTTGTCCTGTGGAGAAGAATAACATCATGCATTGACTACTTGCTAGTTCTTTCTCCATTCTCTCTTTTTTTAAGAACCTGGCCTACCTTACGTACTACTAGGCTTGCTTATATTGGTCTCCCTGTGATAAGCAACAATTCATTTCCAGTACTACTATGTCAAAGTGTGGTATTCTTCAGTTTCATGTTATTTTCCATTGGGTTTTTGGTTAGGGTTTCATTTTCAAGAATAAAATAAGGTCATTTCAGTTACGAACATACAATTGAGTGCAAAACAAACAACCAGAATTGGGTTCTGCCTCTTTAACTACATCAAATGTGATTCCATCTTCCATAAGGGTCAACCATATTACCATTGTGGCTGCTTTTTCTTGACAGGCTAAATTATTGTAGAATTATGTTTTAGCGACACAAAGTTTCGATGCCAAATGATTATTCGATTATTTTATCACAAAAACACCATTGAATGAAGCCTTAAGCATCACTGATGTGTATGTTTTCTGTTTATCATCCCAGCTAAATCCTTCAAAGAAAATGCTAAATGTTCTTAATTCTTTTCTGTCAAGAGAACCGACTCTTGATTCAATTTTATGTTTGATTAACCAGGACACAGCAAGGGATATTCTAAAGAATGCACCTGGTGTAGTAGTTATCGATGATCGGGCAGCCAATCGCTTCCCTACCCCCTTGGAAGTGTCAAACAAAGACGATGTTGCAGTTGGCAGAATACGCCGCGATGTGTCCCAGGATGTAAACTATGGGTAAATATTAATTTATGAGCTAGTTACTTCTCCCTTGTGTTTTTACTCAATTCATTTTCAAATCTTGAATCTTAAACGAGGACTTTTTAAACAGGGTGGACATCTTTGTTTGTGGTGATCAAATAAGGAAAGGAGCTGCTCTTAATGCTGTTCAGATTGCAGAGATGTTGCTGTAGGTCAGATCCAATTCTGCTAGCATGTTCATTATGTGAAATAATTATATTCGGCTAGCATGTTCATTATGTGAAATAATTATTTGGTGGGAATAAATTATTTTGTTCGGAAGCTAATAGTTATTTCGCAAATGCGGATGCCATTAACCTGGCGAGAGAACAAATTTTAGCACTTGTAGCAGAAACAGTTAAGGTAGTTGGATTTTGTATTATTTTTAAGGTGGTGTAGTCTGCAGTGAACTTTTGTCCAAACAGTTTTGTATCATATGTAACTTTCTCTTTTCTCTCTTTTTTTTTTTTTTTGAATAATCTCCTTTTATGTGAGGATCGAATTGCACGAGCTCTTGAGTGAATAAAATCCCTATGCTGATTGGAAAAAAATATATTGACTTGGTTATTGGTCACATTACCCTCTGGGTTCTTGCAAGGCTCAATAAACTTGTGTTGAGTTTTTCTATTTAAGACCAAATATGTTTTCAAATGGATGAGTTCATTTTAGGGCTGAGAAAAAAATTGAAAAAATTGCAAATTAATCCAATTTAGATCAAATCGCATTGTTTGATTTGATTTTTGCAATGTATGTGATTCAGTCTTGTTCTTAAAATAGGTGAACTGTATTTTACGGTTTGATTCATGATTTTATAGTTATGATTTTGATTTGGAACCGAATTGGACTGTTTAGATATATACATATATATAATTTGTTATTTATTGTAGACACTCAATAACTTATTAGTATTTTATATGTATTCATAAGTTGTCAATCATTTTGATTACATGTGTGTTCTTGTGTAATAGTAGAACTAGTTCTAAATAATTTTTATTTGTGAAATGATGATATATTGCTTAATCTTTGAGCAAGTTGTGATTACATTGTAAATAATGACGGTTCATGAAAATAGTAGTTTCAAATAAAATCGAACTGAACCGAATTGCATTTTCATGGTTCGGTTCAATTCAGTTTGATTTCAAAATTTTAATGATTCGATTTGATTTTAAATTTTATGAAACCATATATGGTGATTTGATCTTAGTTTGCTTCAAAATCGAATGAAACTGAACCATACACATCCTTAGTTCATTTTATTTATTTAGTTGTGTGAATGGTATTATTTGTACTCGGAAAGTTTCCTTTTCAATAGGGGTGCAACTCGGGTGAGTTCGGTCGGGTTGGGAGGTTATTCAAGCGCAACCCAAGTTGTGCTAAGACCTGTCCAAGTCTGAATTGTAACCCGAGGTTGTCTGCTCAAGCTCGACCCGAGTTAAACCCGAATTGTCTGAGTTGGCCATCAAAACAAATAATTTATATAATGTAAGAGAGATGTCACTATAGTAGTCCTTACAATTTATGAGTGAAAATAAAAGAAAAAAAGTAAGATTTTATGTTATTTGTATATATAATATATATTCAATATGATTTAATAATATAAATTACTTTAATATCCTGTAATAGCTAATAATTTATATGTATATTTAATATTTTTATATATCTATATATGTATAATTCGGGTTTTGGGTTGCTTGGGTTATTTGACATCTTTGCCCAAGCCCGTCCAAATTTAATTCGGGCTTTTGAATTTTTGCCCAAACCTGTACCGAATTTGAAAATATTTTGTACAAGCCTTAAAAAAATTCGGGCTGAGCTCGGGTTGCTTGAGTTGAGCCCGCTAAGTTACATCCTTACTCTTCAATCATCTTTTTCTTTTTTCTACTTTCTATGCTATTTTTTTTTTTTTTTTAAGGTTGTATTTAAATTATAAATTTTGAGAAGAATTTGTAAAGAAAAAGAAAAAATTGAGCGAAACGGAAATGAAATACATGTTTTTTTTTTTTTTTTTTTTTTTTTTTTTTTTTTTTTTTTTTTTTCCTTTCATTTTTTTCTTAGAAATTTAGAAAATGAAAGGAAATGAAGAAAAAATGTAATATATATTTCATTCATTTTTGCTTTGCTTCCCCCCATCTTTACTCAAATTCATAATTCAAACATAATATTAAAATTTATCAATATTTTTTATTATTTTTTGTAAGTACTGTTATTAGACTAGATTTTAAACAGCGGATTAAACTACTAACACTCTCTTTGAGTCGAGGGGTTTGGTGAGAGAAAAAAAAGAAAAAAAAATGATAAGAATAAGAAATTCCTTAACATGTTTGGATTGTTAAATAGGTGAGAAATTGTGAAAAGGAAAATGTCTCGTAACTCAAATTTTGTGGCTCAAAAGTGGTTCAAATGGCCAAAACGACGTCGTTTTAGCCATTTTTATGTTGTTTTATACTCAAAACGACGTCGTTTTGGCCATTTGAGCCACTTTTGAGCCACAAAATTTGAACTACGTAGCATTGTCGTTGTGAAAAATGATAAGAGATGTTGAGAAAAAGATTCTCACTAAACCTATGTTTTGTTTTTCACCAAAAGTGATGAAATTTGGTGAAAAATAAATTGGGTTTAGAGAAATTCTAGTTGCACAATAAAAAATTCTCTTTATACTCAAATTCTCATTACATAACATGCAAAAATTCAACTATTTTTTTACAATCACCATAATTCTCATCATAACCCTCATCCTTACACCCCCAACTTAACAAACCCTAACTCTACCTCATCCTCAACCACCACCTCTGGTAGCCGCAGTCACAGCCACAACGCCGTCTCCGACTCCAACATCCAGACCCACCCCACCGGCGACTACCTCCAGTGACCTCTCGTACACCGCCACCTCCGACCACCTCTTATGTCTTATTCTTTTTCTTTCTATAACAGAGGAACTAATCAAAAGTGAGATGGAACTCATCAAATCTAGATTTCTATAGTTTTGATCATATGCGAAACAATAATTCAAATTTCACCAAAATACTATATCAAAATCTAAGAGAATAAAATTAATAATAGCACTTGATTGGGGTTTTGTATATATAACAAAATTTGTTATATATGCAAGACTATATCTGTCACTCTCTTGATCCCTCTGCAAATCTCTTTGCTTTGTAAGATATATGTGAAATTTAGTATATGAAGCAAGCTCTAATGTAGAAAATGGGAAAAATCTTGATGGTTTCTTTGTCTCTCTCTCTCTCTCTTTTCAATTTGTTGCATATAATATATACACATATAAATATAGATGTATTTGTATTGGCAACCCAGTTGTGGGTAACTTTGGAAGCAATTGAAAGATGTTCTCCTTCAGGGCCTTGTTTCAGGTGATGGAGAAGGGTTGGGGGTGGTGAGGTGAGACGGAAATGGACTAGGTACCGGTGACTGACGGTGAGGGACTGGGTAGCTGCGGCTGGCATGAGGGGCTTGTTGGTAGCAAAGGGGCAGCTGCAGTGGTGGGTCGGTAGAGATGGTGCTAATGTGGGGCAATGAAAAATTAGGGTTTCAAATTCTAAGATGGAAGGGCATTTTAATAATTTTATATGAGGATTGAAATGTAATAAAAATCAATAAAATTGAAGGATGTAATGAGTTAAAATAGTGGTGTAAGTAGAATTACTTTTGGATTTAATGAAAGATTTCTAAAATATCAAATTTTTTTTTTTATGAAAAACATAACTTATTAATATGGAACTTTATTTTAGTAAAATAAAGTAACACTTTCCATTCTTTCCTTTTATTTATTCTCTTTAAATAAGATAGGTGAAAAATTACATACTCTTCTCTTTTATTCTTCTAAACATAATGGTGAGAAATCATAATCATTTTTTTCCCCCACCTCACCATACAATCTAGACGGAGTGTAAGTGTTAAAAATAACAACAAAAACGCCTTGGTTGTGCCCTTAACAATAAAAAGTAACGACAGTCTATTTTATTTTATCATAATATTTGCCTAATATAGTATTAGAGTTTCTAATTTCAATTAATGAGGTCCAACAAGAGACAATTTTTCAAATTCGTAAGCATCAAAGTCTAATTTTATAGGCAAAATAGTCATTTTGAAATTTGAATAACTTAAATCATACAACGAAACACTCAATTTTTTTATTCACTATTTGAGATGAGGGGAAGAGAAAAAAATGGGTGTATGGTTAGGGTGTAAGTTGTTTAATACAATGTGAGTAAGAAGTTGTGTGTTTTGGCCATGTAGTTTAGGCTGTGTTTAGTTATATTTTCTAACCATAATTACACCTCTCCGCTTTCATGCATTGTTTGGATGGAGTTTTGAAAATGTGATTCCACCACATATTTCAAAACATATTTTTCTTTCACGTTTGGTAGATTTGTACATACTCTCTTTTTCGTCTTCTCCATTCTGAAAAGCAGAGGAGTTTTTGAATTTTGGGTCTACCTAGTCATCCTTCCGGACGTCCGGTCAGTTGACCAGAATAGTGTAATTTTTTTTTTTGCAATTGCTAATCGCCACCTATTATTTGAAAAAAAAAAATTTATATTTGTTTTTGATATTTTTTAAATATAGAAATTATTTTTTTAGACTAAAATGACAAATTATTTTTTTAAATTGAATTTTAAAAAGAGTTTGGTTATGAATTTTGAATAAAATTTTCAATAGAGTTTTAAGTTGTGTGTTTGGTTATGAGTTGTTAGTTTTTGAATTAAGTTTTGAAAATTCTTTTCAAAACTCAAAACCAAACAACTTTTCTCATTTTAGATGTCTCAAAAAATTTAAAACTCATAACCAAACAAATTTATATTTTCAAATCATAATTCGAAAACTCATAGACTCAAAATACAACTCTATTATCAAATTATAATTCTAAAACTTTACCAAATACTGTCTTAGATTTTCCAAATTGTAAAATTACCTTTTTGCATGGTAGGTTAGGTTTACACACAAATTTGGACATGATGTCTTCAATTGGACCATATAAAAAAAACTCAAGGGACTAAATATATGAAATCATCAATAGTTTAAGCTTGATTTTTTTTTTAATTTTTTTTTAAATGACAATAGTTTCGGGGACAAAAGTAAACTCTTCGGGCTTTATGCGAAGGCAATTCATTCTCTTTTGATTTGAGTATATAGAATGATGATTGAAATTTTGCAATGGTGTTGTTCAATGTTAGAACCAAGATTCCTATGTGAATCTTCTTTAAATACTATGTTGAAATTAAATTGTTCCAAAATTGAAAATCCTACGTGATTTGTGATTAGATCAAGATTAACTAATTCCAAAACCCAATAAATTCAAAACACTCAACCTAAAATCATCAAACACTTACGAGAGTGATTTTAGTTTGTTTGTTTTTGAGAATAAACAATAAATCAACACAAACGATTTTTTACGTGGAAAAAACCACAATTGAAGAGCCTTCAATTGTAATAAAAAACT